AAATAGACCTTTTTCTGAATAAATAAGAATTGTATATTATATAATTATATATAGTAATTTATAAAGTTTTATATATTTATACAAAATTATCTATAGAAATATTAAACAAAAAACCTAATTATTTGATGATTAAATTAATTTTATATTATGACTTTTTTATTTAAATTACTTTTAAAATATATTTAAGATTAAAGTTATTCTTAATTATATTACTCTTGATTATTCTTAAACTACTAACTTTGCAATTAATTATTATAAATATAGTATATAGAATCTTGTTAATATTATTTTTCCTAATAGTAATTAGATCATTATACTTAGTATTAACAGAAGAACTGTCACATTATTTGTAAATCTATTATACAATTTATAAAAGATTTTTTTATATTATTTTAAAATACTTTTTTATAAGCTTATATTACTTATTCACTTTAAAACATAAGGCAGTATTTTAAGAAATTTTTGAATTTTTGTACAGTATTTTAATACTAATAACTTAATTCCTGTTAATTTTACAATTTTTATATATAGATTTTTTTTTAAAAGATATATATAAAATGAAAAATACATCAATTATCAAGTTACTAAATCTAGTAAATTCCATATATTGAAGAATAAAAAATAAAAAAAAGTTATAAAAATAATTTAGTAAAAGAAAACTGAATAGAAGTTATTATTTTATATTATTTTTGTTATATAAGTTTGATTCAAAATTTATTAACCAAATTTAAGAAACCAAGAATCAATAAAAAACAATATGCTAATAAAAAGATGAAAGCAGAAAAAGTGGAGAAAATAAGTAAATTAGAAGAAGTAGACAATTAAAAAAAATTAGTACTATAAAAGAAGATACTAAAATTGATTTTATTAAAGCAATTAAGTCAATAACAAGAATTTAATATAAAAAAAAATATATATATAAAAAAAATTCTTTATATGAGAATTATTTTAAAATACTAATCTAATTCTTAAAAATTTTTTTAAACAATTTTATTTTGTAACTTAATTACTTGAATGTAATAAGTTAACAATAAGATTAATAGTCTTAATATATTATTTTTTTGTTTCTTTAAATAATATAAGAATTAATTCTTTTAAGCTTAATTTTACATTTTATCTAAATTCACTAGAAATAAGTAAAGAAGATTTAAATACAATGCTAAATTTTGATATTACTACAACATTAAAAGTAATAAATAAATAAAAAAAAAATATTTAATGTATATAAAAAATAATAGAAATGTATTTATTCAATATTTAAACAAAATACTTGTACTGAATATTGATATCTATTATAATATACATGTTTTATATTAACTTGATACTATTATTATTTCTAAATTAATATATATGATAATATTTTTAATAAATCCATCTTTAAAACTAGTGATATCATCAGATAAAGTTATTAATTCTATGTTTTTCAATAAAGATTTGGTTATAAAACATCTTAATATATATTTTATTATAAATTTAGTGTTTTATATTTTGATTATATACAAAATACAAAAAATATATATATTAATAAAAAGACAATAAATAATTTAATGTTATATAGTAATAATGATAGACTTATAAAAAAAAAACAATTAGCATATACACAACTCTATTCTTATTAATTTTATTAAAAAAATCTTGAAAAATATCTAAAAACTCTTTATATTGTATATAATCAAGAATTAATACAACTATACCTTTTAAATTATATAATTTCTATTGTTACTAACTGATCTAATTAGTTTTTTGTTTGTAAAACTAATACTCAACAGTTTTTTCTTAATAATAAATATATTTCTTATTTTATTACATTATTTTTATCTATTATAGAACCTCTTTATATATCTTTGAATACTAATAAACTAGTATATAAAAAGAATTAATTTTTCTTTATTAATATTTATAAAAGTATTTTGATAAAAAAATATTAGTAAAACATTATTATTATAGAAGATTGATCTAATTCTCTATATTATACATATGACATGATCTAATCTTACTAATACAGTTTATACAAAATTTGGTTGTATATATAAGAATGTTAAATCTTTATATTTAACTAATTTACTAGACAATTTAGTTTTTCTAGTTATTAATATTTACACTATATATTACTGTAAAGAAAATTAGTTAGATTATAAGAAAACATATATATACTATTAGACCAATCTTTTTCTTTAATTTAATTGAAAAAATTATAAATATGTTTATTTAATGTTTTATTAAACATTTTTTATTAAATAAAGACTACTTGGGTTCTCTTAGTGATTCATTAATTAAAATCATATATAGCATTATTAATAGACATATTTCTAAATTTTTTATAACTAATTAATTATAAAAAGAAATATATTTCATTTTTAATAAAAAAATAATAATATCTTTTATTAAAATTTTATAAATTCTACAAAGTATTTATATATTCTAAAACAGTTAGAATTTCTTTATCAAAAATACTTATACTACTTTTAAAAATATTTTCAAAAATGTATTAAAATCATAATCTTTATTCTAATATCAAATTTTTATAAAATAATTTAATACTTTTACTTAATTATAAAATAACTGACTGTTATCTATCAAGAAATTTTGTTATTTTCAAAAAACCTATTCATCAGTTCTATATAATTCAATATATTGTGACAAAATTTATAATTTATATAATAATAATGGTTTGTCATGTAGACACTGATACTATAATGGTTGCTTACAAAAAACATATTTTAGATGTTTGATTTGTTTAGATTATATTCAATATAAAATTAATAAGAACATTGATGCACTATAGTAAATATAACTAATAAATTGTATAAAAATAAATTAATAATTAATAAAAGTGAAAATACAATCAATAATGAACTTTAGATAATATTAACAAAATATTAAATCATTTAAATGAAGTAAAAGAATTATTAAAATCTATAAAAGTTATATTTCAACAATTATAACAAAAAATTTATAATTAATAAAAAAATTTTATATCTTTTATAATATTCTGCAAAAATCATATTATTACATAATTCTTATCTAATTATGATCGAATTATTACGCTTACAAAAGTGTAATCCCACAATTTTCGTGATAACGATAATGGGCCATATATTCAATCAGTAATATTTCTATCTATTTTTAAATCAGTAAAATTCGAAAAATCGTCTAATTTCCCGTGATTTTACATGATATCATGATCACGGGAGTCGCAAAGTGCAAACCCCGTGGAAAATCAATCAACGTGTATATGCAATGTGTCGATCACATCCAGATTCGTGTAACATGGACAGTTCCCTGTTCCCAGTATCACGTTAACTATTGGAACTAAACTGTGCAACATTAGACGCTCTCCCGATTTGCAATAGTAACAGTAGTAGCGAAAACCGTTCTTATACCAAAATTTTGCAATGAATTTTGTTTATTAGAGCGCGTAAAGTGAATTCATACGCAAAATTATGAACCACAAGCGTTACAACTCATATGAGCCAAATTTCATAGCCTTTAATAATGGTTTGTTCTTGATTATTTTATATGAAACTAGTGATGCAGGTGAATTATCATAATTTAATTACTCAATACAAACTTTCGTAAATAACGATAATGACACAATACGAAAAAAAGAAACTTGGATTTAACAATAATTTAGAATACATTGAGTCAATTAGGCCGTAGTCAATTATGTAATTATGCTTACGCAGTAACTTACATAGCTAGATAGGATAATTAAGGATTAATGGTTTAAAATTACCACCGAATAATTTCCCATACATGTTTGGATTAGAAATGTACGAATGTATAATGTAGACAATTAAGGATTAATCGTTTAAAATTACCACCGAATAATTTCCTATACATGTCTGATTAGAAATGTGCGAATGCATAATATAGCATGTGTACATAATGCAATCATGCATGATCTCTCTTTCCAGTTCTGGAACAAGGTGTATTGGCGTTTGGTTAGCAAGCTTCACAACTCCTTTAGAGACCTCATATTTGATGATCAGGCTTTGTGGCTATGATAACAATACAGAATCTCATAATTTTTGATAATCTGGCTCCACAGAGATAGCAGTACAGGGACCAACTCATACTAATATGAAGCATTTATGTCGTTGCATAATGCTTTAATGCTATAGTCGATTCTCATAATTTAAAAAGTTGCCTTTAATTTTGTATCCTCTAACTTTCAAATAAACATCAGGCCGTTTTCGTGAATAAGCATCTATACATTGTTTAACAAATTTGATATAGTAATCCGGAGTTGTATGTCATGCTTACTAATGTTAATTCGTTGCATAAAAGATAGAATCATCTTATTTTAGATTTTTTTTTTAAATATAATAAAATCTAAGTTAAAACTCTTATGAATTTATCATATGAATCACATTATGCTTTACACAAGTGTCATATTGTATTATATAAAATATAATATTTTTATTAATTTTGCTGAATTAAAATTATATAATAATTTTTATGTGCACTTTTGATTTTAAAATTCTTACATTACACTATGCGCTATGCGGCATTGTTTGGATCAATCAAAACTACTCAAAAACTACAAAAACAAAAATCTTTTGAATTTCTGTACCAATTTTCTTCATCAATCTTGCTCAAAAAACAGCAGAGACCGTTAATGTTACACATATATTAAAACTGGTAAGGAATTATATCCATCACAATTGAATCCAACATAAATAATTTAGTTTGTGATTTATCACAGGTGAGAGGGATTCACTTTGGATCGGGCACTGTCTCTGCTGTATGCTCAAAATAGATTAATAGTTAATGGACTATCTCAAAATTATTTGCTGCATGATTATTACTGATAATAATTTATTTAATTAACGATTATTTAATCATATATACAGTATTTAAAATCCGCAGCTTCACTGATAATTAATTATTCCTTTAATTAACGATTATTTATTAGTAAAAACTATATAAAAGATGCATTATGCCAGAAAATAATTTTTTTTTAGATTCATTATTTTTCGCTCATTACTTTGTAAAAAATGCCTATCACTAATATTATTTTTGCACTTAAATTTATTGATTACCTTACTCCGATCATATTCATTTTCTTAGTATATGTTTTTCGTTTTTATTATAAATATCTTACGCGTCCTAATAAATTACCAGGACCATTACCTCTTCCCTTTATAGAATGTACTTATTTGTTTACAGGTAATAATAAACATCTATTTACATTACTCCAAAACAAATATGGCGACTTATGTGAATTTTATCTTAATGGATCACGAAGGATTTTGGTTTCGGATCCTAAATATATTGAAAGAATGTTAACTCCCTCATCTCAAGACACTACATTCATGTTAAGACACCCATATTTGGAAGGATTGGAAGAGTTTGGAATGGCCGGAAGAGGCATAGTAGCAAATCATGATTTAAAAAGTTGGAGATTTAACCGTCAATTCTTTAACCAAGCAATTCTTACACCAAGTTTTAATAATGAAGCTGTTAAATGGTCTAATCAATTGCTTCAAGAATTAGAAGGATATTGGGAATGTCTCGGAAAATTAAATTTATCTGGTAATAATTTACATGATAAAAATGATTGGTCACTTGAGTTAGATATATTAAGATGGTCTCGTAGATTTACAAGTGATATGATCGTAATTTTGGTAACTGGTGCAAGATCTTATACTATGGCATCATATTATAATATTTACAGTCCAGTAAAAATAAATCGTACTGGTGCTTTGATTGAAGATTCTGAAAGATTTGTTGAAGGATTTAGCTATCACCTTACTGGATTCCCTTATTTTATGTATCTTGGATCAATCTTACGTCACTACTTGCCATTTATTGGATCTAAAGTTAGATCGTTACTTAAAAATCGGGATTATTTGTTTGAAGTATTAGATATGATCATTAAGAAGAGAAGACAAGAAATTGACGAGACCCTAATGGATAAAAAATTAGGACATAATATGTTGACTTCTTTAATTACTGCTAATACTGAAAGAAATAAGAATCGTATAAGTACCAGTGATGGTATCCCTAGACCAATGACAGACGTTGAGATCAGAGGTAACTTGTTTGACGCTTTCTTAGGTGGTGTTGATACTGTAAGTATTAATAATATTTTGTATATTAATAATATGTTGAATAATTAATAATATTTTGAATTAATATTTTAACACAATAATATTTTGAATAATTAATGCTTATTAATTATTTTGATTAAGTTTATTAATTAATTTCAATCTTTTAATCCATAGACATCGAATTCATTCAGTTACGTGACTTATTATGTCTGCCATCACCCTAAAGTTAAACAAAAAATGATTGCCGAAATCGACTCAATATTTCCTCCAAATACACCTCTCAATTTGAAGTATGAAGACCTCTTAAAATTAGAATATTGCGATGCGATTTTTAATGAAGTTAATCGAATGGTTCCGATTGCACTTGATATCTCAAGGTATCTTGAATATCCTAGCGAATTAGCTGGGTATCGATGGGAAGCTGGAACATATTTCCATATGAATGTTACTGGTATCCACTACCATAAAGATGCTTGGTCTAATCCTGAAGTTTTTAACCCGGATCGATTTTATAAAAAAGATGTTGCCAACAATTTGAATAATCAAACAATGCCTAAATTTTCGTTTATACCATTTGGTGGTGGATTACGCATGTGCCCTGGAAGAAAGCTAGCAATTATAGAATTACTTTCATTAATGGTAATGGTATTTGGAAAGTATGATGTTGAGTTAATTGATATGAAAGCGCCATTGCAAATAGACTTCACTGGATTAGCTATTTGTAAAGAGTTGCCAATTAGAATTAGACCTAGAAAATTTTCACCGTAGTTTTTATTGTAGTTATTATGAAACTTTCTATTTACTTTCTTTTTCACTCTCTTTTGCAAAGTTTTTTTTTTAAAAATATAATAAAATATTTATTTTAGTTTTAATCTTTATTCACGTGAAATGTCTCAATTTTTCATGATCTTTGTAATATTGTCAGGAATCTAAATTATACATGGCAAAAATAGGTTTAATGTTTACTATTGTAATTTCTCCAAAAGGTTCGATTCTGGTCAATCAGAAAACAAGATCATTATAATGTAGAAAAAAAAACATTTTGAAAACCGCATTAATCTCAAATTTTCACCAAAAACTAAATTATGCGCACTAACCAAAATTTTTTTTCACAAGATTTTTGGTTTAGTGCTATTATTATCCACCAACCTAATCACTAAAAGTTTTATTGGTTAATCGAAAATTATTGAAAATTATCAAAATTTTCTACGATTCTACGAGCAAAAAAAAAAAATAATATATGAAAAACAATTATATCTGTAATTAAAGTAATACTGGCGGAAATCATTACCACAAAATCTCAATAATTTAAACCTAAACTATAATCTTGTAACAGACAAAACCAGACAAAACTTCGGAAAATCAAAATTTTATTAAAGAACCTAACGTACAACTTATGAATCAAAGAAAAAAAGTGAACCAAATAAAAAATATATACAAAAAATAAATATATAAACTTATTATAGAACGTCAATAACTAACAAAAAATAATTAAAAACAACTTTTAATGCTTGTTCTAATATCAAACTAATTTTATATAATAATCGTTATATGGTTATAGTACCACTACAGTATTTTGCTTTAACTCTTCCTGTGAAATCTATTAGCCTTATGACTCACAACTTCATATTACTAACTTATATTATAGACAAGTGTCTTTATTAGTTGGGATTACAAAAAATAAGTTTTTACAAATAAAGACGGCTTAAATTGTTGAGTTTAATTGATTTATTATACCTATAGGCTAAACTTAAACGTTCAAACATACCTCTCATCTAACTTCCGAATTACT